CCCCCCCCCCCCCCCCCCCGGCAAATCACAAGCACACCAAAAATCCGATAGGGCAGCCTTTGGAGCGCCAAAGCTGGCAAGGAGACAAGCATGGCCCTCCATTGCCAGCCTCTCCAGGGCTGAAGCAGCACTTCTCGGCTGAACGGACCCATGCTGCCACAGCAGGACTCCCCGGCCTTTTTGTGCCTGTGGGCACCTCTGGAATTCTGACGCAGGGCAGTGGTCACAGCCACAAAATGGCTTCCACGGGACCTGGAGCCAACCACAAAATGGCTGTCGCAGGAGGCAGACAAAAACACAAAATGTCAGGGAGCGAGGCTTTACATATAAATCTGATAGCACCTCTTCAACGTATCGGGAAGAAGTTCTGTTTAACAAGGTGCTTTCAAATCTGCACAGCCAATCAGAAGCCCTGCTGAGCAAACGCCCCACCGAGTCCTGCCCACTTTCTAAAAGCACTCGGTGGGAGCCACAAAAGGCATCAGCGGGCACCACAACAGCCCACGATCACCAAGTTGGGGACCTCCATTTGACAGCATCCCACCATCACTGTTTAAGAATCATCATTACCTGGCTCTGTGACCTGGAATCGCCCAGGCCGGTTGCCATCTGTCTGCAGGTCCCCTTCAAAAGATCCCTCATAATACAAGGGCTTTGAAGACTTCAGCTGGTTCCCCAGAGCCTTGAGCTCAGGCAAGAAAGTACAGTTGGGGCAGTTTTCCAAAAAGGAGTACAAAAGGACGCTAGTGACGGAGTGCTCCACCAAGCTATTGCCACCAAATTCCTAGGGGAGAGAAAGAGAAAAAAGAAAAACACACACGCATACAACTGGCAGCCAGCACGGGTCCTGAACTCTGGAACCAAATGGAGTAAAAATGGGTGGATAGGAAGAGGTGCAAGGATCGCTCAGGCAAACTCATCAGGGCCGTTTTGGAAGTATTTTAGAACGAGCCACCTTCGCAACAATGGTCTGTTACCGCTCTTAGAAATTCTCAGGGTCAGTCAGCAGAAGTGGATCTGCGTACATCCGTATCTGGAGGTGACACACTCTGACCTCAGTGCATGACACAAACCTCCAGGGCTATTTTTGGACAGGAACGCACAGGAACGGAGTTCCGGCTGGCTCCCAATATTACTGTCCCATGCCGACAGTTAAGATTCAGCAACAAAGCAGTTAAAATACCTCGCCCCCCCTGTCTCTCTCTCAACTTTCTTTATACAGAGGGCCCACGTTAAAATAGCAACACTTAAAAAATTGAGTTACACGAATAGGGAAATCAGATCGGGCTAGCCTGGGCCATCCGGGCCAGGGCACGGAGGGACATACCCGACCATTAAATGGCTGCCATGGGGGCAGGAACCAATCACAAAACTTGGGCAGCTCAATAAAAGATTTTAAGGGGTTCCAGGTGAAGAACCCTCCTGTGACGGAGGCAGCTGGTTTCCAAATGGGCACTCCCCGGAGATGCCCTCCAGCAATGCCTTCCGGAGTCTCCTGAACTTAGGTCAGTGAAGTGGAGGGAATCCAGGACTGGTCATTTGCTTTGGTAAAGCGGCAAGGAGGCATCGGGAAACACAGCGGTAGGCACTGTGCCACCCATGAGAACCACACTGGGGATCCCTGAGTAAATGACACCGAGTTAGGGGACACTTTTCGGTTGATGTGCTTTATAAATAGTATCAGTAAGCTGCAGCAGTGACGGTGTTCTTGGCTAAAGATCGTAACTTGAATTTAAAAGTTACCTTTTTTTGAGAAATCTGTTCCAGGGAAAAATTAAGTTTCAAGTTGGAAGGGGTGTGTGTGTTGAAAACAGAGTATTCCCATGCTTGCTGGTATAGCCCTGGCCCCTGCCTGGTGGAATGAGCTCCTGAGTAAGATCAGGGCCCCCGTGGGATTTATTACAATTCCCGGGCTTTTGGTTGAGGCAGCGGCTGTAAATGGGGCTGACCCCTTGGGTCAGCCCCATTTACAGCTTGGGTCGGCCCCTATTTTATAGCCTGAGATCTCAAATTGTACAGATCTCTGGGAAACTTATTCCCAGTACTATCGACCACTGAGGCATCTGGCCTTTTATAAGAGTTGTATGTTTTACATGTTTTAACGTGGTTTTAACTGTATTGTATTTATTTCATGGTATTATATTGTTGGAACCCGTCCTAAGCCCGTTAAGGGGAGGGTGTCAGCTAGCTGCCATGCTTTCTTTGTTTTCTTTCGCCCTCGACCTTTGCGCATGCGCGCATGCTTGCTTTGCTTAGCTACTGTGGGTAACATAAGGGAGGCGCTCTTCTGCCCGTGTGAACTGGCTCAGCCAGACAGTGCTATCAGTGTAACCTTGAAGAGAAGGGAGGGCTTGAATTCCACTATCGGTGTGAATATTTCTGCTCTCAGGGGGGTGGGGCGAGTCTCCCATTTATGATGTAATGTCTAGCCAGGAGAATTCCCGTGCATGTGCTTGGATTTCATTTGCTTAGCTAGATGAGGCATCAGAGTATATGTAGAGTCCCTTGCACCAATCGTTATTCCTGACAATGTAACTGTACTACTTGGCTACAGAACAGTATTCCAATAAAGCATAACCTTTCTTGAAGAGTATGTTTGGACCTGCGTGATTTTGATCCTGACCAAGGGCAGAATACAAATCCAAATTAGTACTACTACTACTACCTCTACTTCTACTAATAACAATATCATCATCAAAGCAAACACTTCCCAGTTTTCAAGCTACTGGCAATTTCTAGCCTACCGTAAGTACTGGGACACTCACAGTATAACCACCACCTCTAAACTCCAGCCCCACCGCCGCTTCAGACATCAGGTTAGCAGCCGCACACTGGCTTTCTTCTCCTAAATCAGGGGCATGGTGGAGGAGAGGGTGGGGTTCCACCCTGCCCTCTCCCGCTTTTGCAGTTGTACCGTTGCCTCAAACAAACCTGTCGAAAGCTTGACTGTGTGTTGCTAAGAGGGAGGGAGCCACAAACACACCGCCTGGGGCCAGGAAGAAACCCTTGGAGCTGAGCTGTCCTGGCCAGCCCATAGTCTGGCACCCTGGAGGCGTTCCTGGGACTTGGCCGAGGACAAGAGTACTATGATACAAGAGTACTATGATAACGTGACTGAAGAGCGGGAAGGGAATGCAGAAAGGGGAAGTGAGGCAGAATGCAGTTATTTATGAAGACCTCTGTAGGTAAGAAGCCCTCCATGTGCAGGGGACTAGTACTGCATTAAAAGGCTTTGCTCCAGGCTATACCAATATTGTGATCCCACAGGAGCACAGAACGTGGTATCTTGCACAGAATTCAGTTCCCTGAACTTAAAGCTTATATTAAAGAGCAAGTTTCTGGCCCTTAAGGTCTGCAGGTGCAGCTGAAGTAACTATTTTCAGAATAACCTGTTATGCTCATTTTTCATATTGCAGAATCTGAATTACCTCGATTTAGAAGTTGTATGCAGAACTTGCCAGGGAATTAGTGTTCTACTGGGGGGGGGTCGGGGGAGAAGGAAGCAAACGCCAAACTTTGCTCTCCTATAACTCTTCCTATATACTAAGAAGGACACAAAATAAAGTACTGGCATACAACACCTTATTCTCCTAAAGTGTGGGGAAGAGAAAAATGATGAGAAGAAGAAGAGAAGAGATTGGATAAAGAGAAAAATGATAACCCACACGTCTCCTGTTACATTAAATGTAATAAGGCTGTGTGAACAGCGTGGCAATATACAAAATCTAGAGTTCGTGCACAACGTGAAAACTGAATCCAGCAGTCTATGCAGATTAAACCAATTAAACAAATTTGCATGTATTTGCACTTCTCCCTTGCTTTCTCTCCAGCAGCATCCCAGTCACGGCTCAGAGCCTCGTTGCATCAGAAGCGTAGCTAAAACAAGCTTTTTTATTATGATATGCGTCATTTATGTAACACTTCAAGTGTACAAAGTCCTTTAGAGCTGCGTATCTGCTCATGTCATGCAGTTTAGAAATCAGTACTGAGCACTCCTGAGAAATCTATGCTTCCATTTTTAAACCAAGCAGTGTAAGGTCACTGGTCCTCATACCTGGTAAAGGCTACTAGGGAGAGACTGGAGAAAGATTCCTAGCAGTCAGAAGGTAGGATTTCAGTACTTCATTATTCTTCCTAGCCCCTTTTTGAGGCTGGAAGAAGAGCACTGTGCAAGTCATGTATGCAGCTTTGCTCAATGTGAATAATTTGCATGCTGGATAATACAGCCTTCTTGGCACAAAACTGAGCTCTGATGCAAAGCCCTCCCCCAATCGAAATCTTCTCCATTTAGCATGACAACAACCCCTACACTGCTGGAAACAGCAAGTGAGGGTGAAAGTTCCCACAGACTCCCGGCATCACCTTCCTCCCCTCACAGAGTTTGATGGATATAACCACCACCAACAGTCTGGGCTGTCACTCAGATATCCAAGAAACTCCCTGAAGTGACTGCAGGTGCCCATGCCCCACGGGGGACAAGATCTTTCTACAAGACCAGGCTTAAGAAGGGAGGGGAGAGAGCAGGAGAGAGTCTCTACAAAAGGCCTCTGAAGACAGCCTTTCCTCTCCCCTTCAAACACACACCAGTCTTATTTCTTCAGGAGACAAATGCACATAATTGTTCACAAGAGCAGTTTGGGAATCCCACCTGATTCATTATGACTGCTGAAACAAGGCACTTGGGTTAATCCTTAATCCTCGGAGGTCCTCTCCCTGCAAAAAAGGAGAATTATCAATAGATCCATGTGTCTCTTTCTCCCAGACAGTTTCTCTTTTCCTCAGCCTTACTGGTGGGCTCCAAGGTCACCAAGTGATAACCACGGGTAGAAGCTCAGAGGCTGTCAATGTCTCAGACCTGCCTGGGAAAACCACCACTTGGCAAGATGATTTTCAGACCTTATTGTTCAGGACGTGAAAATAAGTAACACAACCAAGAGACAAGCTCAGGCACAGAGTGTGGTGGCAGAGCCAGTGCTTTGCACACGTAAGAACAATGGGCCAGTTCCCAGAATCTCCAGTTAAAGAGATTTTAGGTCATAAGGCTGTGAAAGATCTTAACTGTGGGAAAGAGCCACTCACTTCAAGCCCCATCCCAAATTCTAGGCTACACGAACCCATGGAAATAAGTTTCAGAGGGCAGCCAGGTGTTCTGCAGCAGGACAGCAGGATTTGAACTCAGCAGCTCCTTAGAGGCCAACTTGAGAGAGAACTTTCGAGAGTCAAAGGTCCCTTTGTCGGATACAAAAATATCTGACAATGGGGAGCTTTGATTCACGAAAGCGCACACCGTGAAAATCTTGTTGGCCGTAAGGTGCTACTGGATTTGAATCTACCAGTAAGGAAGTAAACTGCCTGTGAAGTTTCCCTTGCTCGAAAGTCAGTCAAGTCCGACTCTAGGGTTGCGGTGCTCATCTCCGTTTCCGTGGTCATGTGGCCGGCATGACTAAACACCAATGTCTTGCTTTCGAACTGCTAGGTTGGCAGGAGCTGGAACTAGAGACGGGAGCTCACTCCGTCATGCGGCACACTCAGGTCTCGAACTGCTGAACTACCGATCTTCCACAGCCTGCAGTTCAGCGTCTTAACAACTTGAGCCACTGCAGCTCCAAACTGCCTGTACAAGAAGGGAAAACGAACCGCCCGCTCTGGTGGTCACAGGGATACCAAGGCATTCCCCCACCCAGTCGCCCGGCCTTGCTTACACAGGGCACGGACGGGGCCTGACAAAATCCAGTTTGCTCACCTTACATCGGATAAAGCTAAATTATTTGAACGGAGGTTGCTGAAGCACTCCCGTGCTGGTGAGTCCTTCCCTTTCGGCAGGTCACACACGGCAGCAGAAGCCAAAGAGAAGCCTAGAAGGAAGAAAAGATACACAACGAAGTCAAAGAGTGCACAGAAAGGCCGCGTTTGTGGTTTTAAAAATATCTGGAGTGCCCTCTGCAGGAATCCCAAGGAGATGCTGAGCGTGAGGACAGACATGCCAAGTTCACTTTAAAGCCAGGGCTGAACCAACTCCCTCACATCCTTCTTTGAAGGCGCCGGGAGCGAGACAGAAGGCGGTCAAGGGGTCTGTAGTTCCTAAAGATGCATAAAACTTGCATCACTCCTTAATGATTGTCTTAGAAAAGAGCCAGAGTACAGTAGCACCTTAAAGACTAACAAAATTTGTGGCAGCTTTCAAGAGTCTGAAGAACTGAGCAGTGACTCACGAAAGCTCCTACCCTGCCACATATTTTGTTAGTCTTTCTATGCCAATAAAGGTTGACTGACTGACCGTTAGTCTTTAAGCTACGATTGGACTCTTGCTCTTTTCTACTGGTTACAGACGGTAATACGGCTACCCATCTTAATAATTATCGGTTATAATAAATTGGAGGCAGGAGGCAACAGAGTTCTTAGATGCTGAAAAGCAGTTATGCAAAATTTTGGAGCAAAACTTGTTTCCAAAGGTCCTACACATGTCTAGCGTGGTAGAGTTGCCAGATGTCAGTTAAGAAATTCCTGGAGATTGGGTGGTGGCGGCGCCTGGAATGGGGGTTGGGGAGAGAGCAGAGACCTCAGTGGGATACAGTGCCATAGAGTCCACCCTCCAAAGCAGCCATTTTCTCCAGGGGAACTGATCACTCTCTTCCGGAGATCAACTGTAATTCCGGGAGATCTTCAGGATGGCAACCCTCTGTGCCAGTCACCAGTGGCTGGACACTTGCCGAGACCCATCAAGGAACCCAGGAAAAGTAAACACTGCTCTCTTCACCTTCGATTTGTATGGGGGCCAAGTTGGGTCAGCGACACCTGGCCTTCAAGCTTACTAGGTCCCTGCGCGAGCACGTTTCTGAGACCCTACTTTGGTGCAAGAGATTTTAGGACTTGCCCTCAGCTCACACTCGGCTGACCCATTTACATGCAGCACGTGAAGCTTTTCAACCAGCTACAGCCACACACACACAGCCACGCACACACCCCCTGACAACTGGAAACATGAACACGCACACGAACTCACATGAAGCTGCCTTATACTGAATCAGACCCCTTGGTCCAACAAAGGCCCTATTGCTGACAATGGCTCTCCAGGGTCTCAGGTAGAGATATTTCATATTACCTACTACCTGATCCTTTTAACTGGCAATGCTGGGGATTGAACCTGGAACCTTCTACATGCCAAGCAGATGCTCTACCACTGAGCCACGGCCCCTCCTACATGTTCCCAAGGTCTATGGGGGTACTCTCTCTGTTTGCTGGCCTCCTCCCAGTCCTCCGTGAACCCCCCCCACAAAATGAATAAAGCGTTACCCAAGCTGTCCAGGAGCCCGTGAAAACCAGAAATCACCTTTGCTTTAAAGCTTCTACTTGGCAGAGACAAAAATAACAGTTTTACGCAATAATATTTGCTTAGGGCAAGTCTCCCGCTTGGTTGTGTCATTTCTCTAGCTATTATTTTATCTCTCTGTGAAAAGGAAATTCAGAACAACAAGAAGGGGGACCCACGATACTCACGGGGGGGGGGAGCTCCACA